ACCAGTTGGCTACTTTCCAGCGGCCAAAAATAGCCAAAAAGGAGCAGATTTCCAGATAACTAGCCACTGACTTGCGACAGATATTCTTCAGAATGAAGGGTAAACACATCATCATCCTTGCTACACAGCTAGCTTGCTACAAGTGAAACATATACACAAAACAGCCTTTTAATTGACAACACCTCTCTATATTAGTCTTTCTTTTTCCTCCTCATCTTTTCTTCCTCCTCAATCTTGAGCCCCCAGAGCCTTTGAAGAATAAAATAATAATAGCTAATAATAATTTGAGTTATGATTAAAATCATTAGTCATATGTCCGGCAACACTTACAGTATGTAAGTATGTAAATGGTGAATGGTCTGTGTACAGATACAGTATATAGCACTTTTTGTGCTTGATGACAACTCAGAGCACTTGACATTACAGTCTTACATCCACCCATTCATACAGTGCATCTTTGTGCAGCACGTTTTATGCCGTGGTCTTGGGTTTAGTGTTTATTCTATTATCACATACTATTATGTGTTGTCATTGTCAGCTGAATGGTCAGGGGCCGCAGTATTTTTACAAATGTAATTAAACAGTGTTTTTATTGCCATGATTAACCCCTGACATTCTGTGTTGATACGTCTGAAGCCGCTGCCTTCAGGCACATGTCACCTCTGCGGAGCCAGTGAGCTTTTCTATTAGGCCAGTGATGCAAATTTCATCTTCCACTGTGGGTCTTCCTCTGAGAGATTGCCAAATATATTTCGGGTGCTCTTAATTGAATTCTGCCATGTAGCCCTATTATTCTAAGAATTCAAAACCTCAGCCTCCTAATTGAGTTTCTGTGCCTGAAATATGAGAAGTCCTCTTGAGATGTGGTTGAAATATGAAAGCTCAGAGTTCAACACTCTCTCCTCTATATTGAAAGCTCAGTGGAAACTACTCCATGTTGTTGGTTTAATTTGAGGAAATAATGAAAATAAAATTATTTACATAACATAAAGCCAGATGAGTAAATTGCAGTACACCGACTGTACACAGTCAAAAAGCTTTGATGCATTTTTGATCACTTTGTGTTAGGCAGTCAGTTATTGCGTAAGGTTTGCGCAGGCTGGCATTACTTTTGCAAAGGAGGCTGAGAGTGGTGCTTTAGCAGAGCCAGTGCTATTGCTGTCCCAGGCTGCATCAACCCACAGTCTGTATACATAGCTCCTTGGCACGCTCTTAACCGGGTTGCTCTACATGAAAATTGCATGACCGTGCAAAGGGAGTTAAAAAAGGGGAAAATACTGAGGCATCTTTAAATAACAGTTAGAGGAGAAAACAGAGTCGTGAGCTGTTCTAGGATCTGCATTGTGCAGGATCAGTCATACTCTTTATCTTTTGTGTTTACTTTAGCCACAGTTAAGTCCATTGTTGATGTGTTGGAAGCCTTTTTTCTTTGTGGTGTATTTAGAGTGGCAAGAAAGTACACAGCAACTGTTTGGAAGTGTAAGGCACTATAACATAGGAGATGGAAGATTTGTAGTATTTTTGTCAAGTTGGATTTAGTGTGTCTAACTACTCTGTTTTGCATCAGGACTTATACATGAAAAAAAACTGTTTTTCATAGTGGTGATTTTTGTGAGTATGCACAGGAGTAATGATTAAAGTGACCTAACTAACCTAGTTTTCCATGTGTTTATTTGTGGTATATTGTAAGGTGTGCTTGGGTGTCTACAAAGGTGAAGTGAAATAAAATGTCTAATAATTATTATAATTACAATACATTTATATTATTATTTGTAATAGTATTATTATAGTATATAATACATTATCATTATTATCATTATATTACATCAAAGCAAATCAGTGAGAATTTATCATTTATCAGTAGTTGCCTTTATCTCACTCTCAAAATCTTTCATTAGCTTATATAGATATGTTCTATACCAGAATAATGGTATTAAAAAATGAAATAATATTTGAAGTTAATAGTTGCATCTAGTTTTTTTAAAATAAAATGAAAGATTTTATTACTAAAGATGTCAGTGTATGATACGTCATCAGAAGGCAGACCTTTAAATAGACAATAATACCTAAATGATTTGTTAGTGAAACTGTCAGCACTTAAGGGCCTACAACAGCCTGACAACATAAATATCACCAAGCTTCTCTAAAACCAACTGTTACAAATGGAATGGAATTCCTCAAAATCCATCAAACAACAACGTTTTATGAGTATAACACATTTCAAAATAACCAGTTCTTTTGTGGGTAATGTAGCTCCAGGTTCTGTCAAGATAGAAACATGCAAATACATGCAAATACATTTTGATATTTTTCTTAACAGTCATAACTATGAGATTGTTATTAAAGTGCCATTCTTAAATATCATACTCTGTACTCTAAATAGATGCATTCATCATAACCAATAATAACTACTGCAACTGAACTATTTTCAGCATTAACATTGGAAGACATATTGGGATTGCTATAGCAGCATGTAGGGAGGCGTTACAACCAGAGTCAACGAGCGCAGTAGCACAAGTGCTGGCTCAGGAACTGATGCACCAGTTAGTTCACTTATAGATAGTGAGTGAAACGGTTTGACTCAAATGAATGCAACACGTTAGGTTTGGTGGCTTTGTGGTGCAGTGGTCTGCGCTGTCGGCTCAGGGCCCGGAGCTGCTGGGTTTGAATTCACCAGATTGAGGGTTTCTGTGGTAACATGCAGCACACATGCCTGCGTGGACTGTTGCTTGTTTGGGTCCAAAGAAAAACAGGTTAGCAGAAATGGAAAGTTGCCTGCCTAAAAGGTTTTCTCCCCACTGCATATATATCTGCCTCGTGACAGACATGGTGCCACTCAGGGTAAATGGACGTTTTTTTTTTTTTTTGAAACATGGGAACATTGATAGTAATAAAACAGAGACTGTAACAGGTGAAAACATTCTGCTGATGTGACATCACCGCCCAGACTTCATCCTAGATGTGAATAATCGTAACCTTTCCTGCCTTTCTTCATATACATAAAGTGAATATGTAATTGAGGAAGCCAGTGCTGAATGGGCGCGCTGGAGCACTCTTGGCAGTGAAACTATACAGTGGGGCCAAGCTCTCTCTTGTTCTACTGAAAGAAAAGCCTAAGAACAAACAGACTCATTTGACATTGGCCTGGTCTCAAGCTGAGTCACTGGCTCCTGTAAGCACAGACATAATATACGCTGACTGAAAGTCTGACCTATGCGAGTGACCCTGTGGCCAGCACAGGCTCTCTGCACTCAGCGGGGTGTATAGACTTACCACCTGCCCTGGCACAGTTTCCTCCTTCACTTTGTTAATGGAACTGTTGTCTGTGCTTGCGACAAAAGCCAAGTGTTAGGAGAAAGGGCTACCTACCTTACTGTGAGTAAGAGTGGTTTCACACACTGTGATCCCCTGGCCCAGGAAACTATAATTCACACTAATGGAGAAAATGTTCAGGGCACTGCTGCTCCTTCACAATGGCCTCAGAGAGAAATTAGAAAGAAAGGGATGAGCACAGGAGGGAGATGAAATAAGAGAAAGAAGAGGTAGTGAGAGGTGAGAGATAGAGCAATTAAAAGGAACAACTTGAGGGGAGAAACAAGTAAGGGGAAGAAATGTAAGCAAAGGAAAGGACAGGAAAAGTGTGTAAAAAGGTAAAATAGAAAGGAAAGTATGAGGCTGTTAATGAGTGACTGAGGAGGAGGATGATAGAGAGGATGACATATTGAGAAGAGGTGTGAAGGTGAGGATGGGGTTGAATAGTTCACAGGTAGTGTCAAGTAAAATGCAGATTTTCATGAACACAGGTTTTTGCAGCCTTGTCAATACGAAGTCACTGAAGTGACTCATGAACATGATTATTGAAGAGAATCATCTTAATCATCCACTTCTCAGTCTGAAAGGTTTGAGTTCAATGTTAGTTTTATTTCCCCCTGAAAGGTTTTAGTTCCCTCTAAAATGTTTTTCTAAAATGGTTCACACTAAATGGTTTTAGGTCACACTAAATGGTTATAGTTCACTCTGAACACTCTCTAAAGCTCAGTTCCCACTACATCATTTTCCAGTTGATTTGATGGGCTCACTAACACATTGCAGAATTGTACTAGATTTCTAGCAGGCCAAATATCAGCCAATCGTGTAGTG